CTCTGTCTCACTCTCAAAAATAAACATTTGTGGCACCTGGGTGGCTCAGTCAATTAAGCCTCTGACTTTGGCTCAGGTCATGATTTCATGGTTTGTGGGTTTGAACCCCGTGTCGGGCTCTGTGCTGACAGCTCAGAGCCCGGAGCCTGTTTCAAATTCTGTGTCTCCCTCTCTCTCTGACCCTCCCCTGCTCACGCTGTCTCTCTCTCAGGAAAAAAAAAAAAAAAAAGGAAACACTGAGAATATTTCTCTGTGCCTTTTACATCTAAAGCCAAGCTTTGGACATAGTTATTTTAGGATAACCAATGAATGAGCCGGATATAAATACAAAAATAAAACTTAAGGTCAAGAATAAATGATTTTTGCATTACACACTCTTGGTTTTCCAGAAGCCCCTGTTTGGAATATTTAAGTTTTTCAAAGGGAATAAGCACTTAAATAAATTAAGCTTTTGTGGTTTGAATACATGAAGGAAGCCCAGGAGTGGCCTGTGGGCATCTGAACTGTTTGGCAGCCATGTAGACACCAGTTGTGATCCGAGCTCTGCAGTGATTTGGGGGGAGGTGGTATTTATTTGTCTGCTCTTATTTGATAGCCAGTCAGGAGTGTCACAGCAGAGCGGTCAAGGGTCACATTTTTAGGGATAGCTTCTGGAGCAGTTGGTTTGAGTCTCCCAAGTGGATCTGTGATTCTCGTTTTGTGAGTACGTCAGAGGCTTCTGAGGGCTTTGTGAAAACTCAGGACTCAAGAGTTTCTAATTCAGTGGGTGCAGTGCATTTTTGCAAGTTCCCAGGTGGGCTGATGATACCAAATTCAAGGACCACACTGTGACCATCACCGGATTAGACGCCGTGTGATGGATGCTTATTTCGACCTTGGGAAATTCCCATGTACCAGTAGCACGCACCTAGAGGCTGGAGGTTATAAAGCTGTTTCAAACATTGACCAAGAGTTTTGATGTGCACTTTAAAACACAATTTGAGGTTTACAAAATACAGGGTGTGCTAGCTCCATGTGTCCCTAGAGCTTTTAAAATGTCACTTTTTGGGGAGCCTGGGTGGCTCAGTTAAGCATCCGACTTCGGATTATCTGAAAGAGGAAATAGAATACAGGTTAAGTGGGAAAGCGATGGCCTCGTTAGCTGATCACACACAGCTGTAGTGGAACCAGCCCTTGCTCTGACCTGACCTAACACTGCTTTTTGCAGTGTGTTGAAGCCATCCCCTTGTGGCCCTGAGAATGATCACTGAAATCATATTGCTGGAAAATACTGAGGCCTGACCAAAGGCCCTGAGTAACGGTGTGATACGGAAATTCATGAACCTGTGTCCTAATCGTGGAATACTGGTGTCCTTGGGCTTCTTCTTTTAAAAAAAAAAAATTGGGGGGGGCGGGGAGAGCAAGCAAGCTGAGGAGAGGGCAAAGAGAGGGCGGGGGGGGGCGGAGGGAGAGAGGATCCTAAGCAGGCTCCATGCCCAGCGAGGAGCCTGACGCCAGGCTCGATCCCACAACCCTGGGATCATGATCTGAGCCGAAGACAAGAGTCGGGAGCTCAACTGACTGAGCCACCTGGCTGCCTCCCTTGGATTTCTTTTTAATTCTTTACCTAAAAATGTATTTTTTTTTTTAAATTGAGAACCTTGCTTTTGAAGGGCAGGTCTGAAGGGATATCTGGTTTTTCCCACTGCAAGGACAGAGCTAAGCATCTAAAATGCCCTCCTAAATGTCTGTGAGATTATGTATGGATGTCCCACCAATGCTTGTGACTGAGTGGTGAAGAATGTATCATTCATTCCTGCCCTGATTCAGACATCCATATAATTCGTCGTGTTTGCAAAACTTGTATTGCTTACATAATTGGAAAAACAGTGAAGATGTGACAGTAAACACAAAAGCAGTAGCTACTGGAAACCACCTGTGATATTTGCATAATTGGTGCTTAAAATAAGAGAGGGGCGCCTGGGGGCGCCTGGGTGGCTTAGTCGGTTAAGCGTCCGACTTTCGCTTAGGTCATGATCTCGCGGTTCGTGGGTTCGAGCCCCGCGTCGGGCTCTGTGCTGACTGCCAGCTCAGAGCCTGGAGCCT